TAGTGTTCCATCCCATTCGAAATAAAAGGTACATGTTCCTTTATTATTCAAATAATCTATGCCATTTCACATAAATGACATGAATTGTTCCCCGACCCTCAATCTCTTAAACTCTTAAATCCTAAAACTCTGTATTTTGAAATCTTAAACTCTCAAACGTGTAAACTTTCAAACTCTCAAACTAAGAAAATGGTTTCTATTTTAGCTGTTGTTTACTATGATGGAGAAATTAGGGAAGATGAATATAAAGTTATTTTCCGATCAGACCATTATATCATTCTGTCTTTCAGGAGAAACATCACTCTTCACGATTTTATCATAAAAATATCAAAGAAGGCTCGTGTTGGAAAAAAATAGAAGACTGACTATGCTGTAGAATAATTTTTTATTGAATTTTTTTTGTTAACATATACATCGTTCAATCTCTCAAATGATGATGATGTTACTATGATGGTTGACGCTTCCAATCAAAATTTGAACTCTATTACAGAAATGAATGCCATTTTTGTTGACGTATATCTAGTTCGGGGTATGTCCTTATCCTTCCACTATGGTTTGCATGAACCAATTGATCAAGTTGACAATCCAACTCAAACAATCTGTAATGATTTCATGTCATTAATGGCTAACACACCTCATGTTAGCATAACATCAAGTTCTAGGGGAAGGCATTCAACTGCCACTTTTTCCAACCTGAATATGGAGATGCCTTCTAGTTCTAGGGGAAACATTCATCTGTCAGCACCTTCGACCTCGATATAGCAATGCCTTTCACACAACACTCAATCCATAGCCCATATGGTGACATCCCTTCAAGCTCCAGAGGAAGGCATTCATTTGCGAACTTGTTTGAACTAAATATCAGAGTTACAGAAGAACCCTCATCTCCTAAAAAAAAACCTCTTTGTGAGCCAGGAGTAGATGGTGCTGAAACTGGATTATTATTTGAACCTGATTCACTACAATTCAATATGGACTATGATAATGATACGGATGAAGTTCCTACAAATATAGTATAATACGAACCTCCAACACACATGTATGAAGTTGACTATGATGCGATGTAATAGCCAAAATTTCCTGATATTCCTCATCTTGGAGATTATGGGAAGTATTCATCAGTTAATAATGATGATTTATATTGTGGAATGGAGTTCACATCTAAAGAAGAAACAATAATGGCAATTAAGAATTACAATATTCATAATTCTGTTCAGTCCAGAGTCGACTAATCTACCAATGAAAAGTATGTCTGTTATTGGGTCCAACATGATAACGACTGTAACTGGATGATTCATGTTTCAAAGAGGAAGAAAACCGACAGATGGGAACTAACAAAATACATCGATCCCCATACATATTGTGCATAGGGGATCAACCAGTACCATCCAAACTTGGACTCCAACGTGATTTGCTAAGCCAAAATGCCCTTGGTCAAAGTAAGCTCTCATATACCTATTGCAATGCTTATTTTTGCAATATAATCTCAATATGGGTACACCGTCTCCTAAAAAACATGGAAGGTAAAAATAATGCCATTATAAAACTACACAACGAATGGGATTCATCTAACAACAAACTACCCAGTTGGTTTAACCTGGTTCAACGACTGAATCCTAGGATAATAGTTGAGTTCAAAACTCATCATGTCTACTATAATGATCGAGTTCTTCGAGATCGATGTCAATTACACCGTGTTTTTTGGACTTACCCACAACGCATTAATGCAGTGAAATACTATAAACTTGTTGTCCAAATTAATTATACGCATGAGTATATTACATTTTTCCCAATTTCATTTATCATTCATTTTCATTTTTTATACTAACTACTTTATTTCGCTTAGGTTACGAACTCTCACCTTAAACATTTGAGTTTATATTTCAAGTGAACAAATGCATATGATCGTGGATATCGATATAGACATATGACAACCAACTTGGTTGAGGCAATCAATTCAACCTTAAAGGGCCCTGTCATTTACCAGTAATTGCTTTGGCTAAAATGACGTATTTTTTTTGGGTCAACTTTTTACCAAGCTCGGGGGACAAGCTCTCACTTGGATACAAAACGGTGATGTTTATCACCCACGATTAGTAGAAGATCTGTAGCAAAAGGTTGCACAATCAAACAACATGTCTGTAATAAGCTTTTCTCACACCCAAGAATTATTTTGGGCATAGAAATGCCACGACCTCTGCAAGGGATTGAATCTAACTCTTTCAGAGTTAATCTATGATATAAATGTTACGATTGTGGGTTTTTTCAAGCTTTGAAGTAACCATGCTCCCATGTCATGACATCTTTCTCATTTTCTCGTCAAGACTATAAGCGTTATGTGGATCTAGTATACCAACTTTCACAAGTATTCAAGGTATATGAATATGAGTTTCCCCTCATATATAATGACAAAGACCCAAATGAGGTTCAGACTTGGCTTCCAATTATACCAAATTCGAACTTATTAAAAGAGCTAGGCCATCCAAAATCTACTCGAATTCATTGCGATGTGGATATTCGAGAGACGTTAAGACAAAACTTAAGATGTGGTCATTGCATAAATCCCAACCACAATAGGAGAAACTGTCAATCTCTTTCATCATCACGTAACCGTTAACCACCACTCACGTAATCATATTTTCTAATGTTTCAACTTATGTTATTTGATTTTCTTTTAGTTTCAATTAATGTGATTTCAACTTGTTTATTTTACAAGATGACAATTTTGTCTATATACATAATTTTCCAATTAAATGTTTAACGTTTATTTCTTACAATCTAACATACAATCAACTTTAACCCTACCCTACTTTAAAAACATAAACATTCTAACATACAATCAATTTTAACCCTAAACCATACAAATATAACACCTTAAACCACTAAAAACCCTAAAACTAATTATAAAACCATTACAAAACCCTAAAACCATTTTAACATAAAACCCTAAATCGAGTATGGGAGGCACATTCCATACAATGCGCCATTCAAGGGAGGCGTGTTCCTTAGGATGCGCCATTCAAGGGAGATGCATCCCCTAGGACGCGCCATTCATGAAACCCATGGAAGGCGCGTTTCATGGCACACACCTTTTCTCCCCTGACTAAGGTGCCTCATTCTCTCTCTTGAAAAAAAAGTGTTAGATCGGGAAATAGTTAGGAAAGGGTGTTTATAGGTAGTGTTTTTTTTAATAGGGTGATTTTTTGGTCAATTTGCCCAATAATTCAACCATGAATGAAATAAAAAAATAGAACCCAGAGAATCAATAATCTTAAGAGTATGGACACACCAACTCCCTCAACTGGAATCTTCCTCCAATAAAATCCAACTAAAAATGGAAAAAAGAAGAACCCGTATGATATTAACATCTGAAAAGTAAAACCCATATTTTAAAATCACCAAAAACAGATTATTTGAAAGGCTTCTACTTTTCAAAACATTTATTTCGCTAATTAATCTGACATCATCTATCGAAACGAGACACTAAACTTTTTAAATAATATCACAAGTTTAAATCTCGACAATTATAAATGAATCAAACTGAAATGAGAAAATCACTCTCATAATAAACTTAAACAAATTTTGATCTAAATTAATTAATTAATAAATTTGATACAAGTAGTTAATAAAAAAATCATTCACTTTGTTGTTTGGAAAAATATTTCCTTTTGTATCACACTAAATTTAAGAAAAATTATGTATTTAGTAATCTAACTATCGTGTGATTCTATTTTAGTATTAAATTATATTTTTTTAAATCATAACTAATGATAAGTATTGATTTTATTTATTTATATTATTGAAAAATAAACAAAACTGCTGATATGACATTTATTTACTTCTTTAATGATGACATGACATTATCGTATGATAACACATTATTATCATTATTAATATTTTAAAACGATAACTAAAATAAAATCAAAACGTAACATTATATATGATTTTGAAAAAAATAGTCAGTTGACCAAAACAGAACCACACGAATAATTGGGTGACTAGATACATGGTTATCATAACCATTTTTTCACAAATAAAATGTGTTATTAATTTAAAAAAAATATATATTTATGATTTTTTTTTTTGGAAAAGTGAGATTCTTGATGAAATTTGAAATTAATTTGAAATTTGAGTCCCCATCGACCTTTGAGTTAGGTAGGTTGAATAATTAAAAAATGTATTTTAAAAACAATTTTAAGAAAAATTATTTTTAATATAAAAGTTGGTATGCATTTATCAAAGGTTCATTTTTAGAGTTCGAAAGTCGGTTACGAGCGAGTAAAGATTAACATTCTACAACGTCCAAAATTGGTACTTGATTGCTTATACGTCGTCGTTATAGTAGAAATTACAAATCCGAGTCAAAATTAAAATATGATCTTTTGTATCGAATATTGATTAATTATTTCAAATCATAAAACTATAAAAAAAGGACTCAATCCATTTCATGTTTACTTTTCGTTCGAATGTTGTATCGAATCACACCACTTCTATCAAATGTTTTTCACTCCTATTCTACTATAGATGTTCTTGAAAAATATGAATATACTATGTTTAAAAACAACATCAAAGCAAAACATTGAGCATAAATTTAACCAATTGAAAAATAAACTATCGAGCATTAAATAAAAATAAATACAAGCATGAAAAAAATAAATAACATGAAATAAAGATGCTGAAACCAAAAAAGAAATAATAAACACTGAAGTGGGATTAAAATGAATAACAATAAAATAAGAAGCTAAAATTAAAAGAAATATTAAAGCATGAACAAATTATAAACAAGAATTATATATGTTTTAGTGGACTAAAAGGCAATAAAAATAAAGTATAATGCTAAAAAAAATAAAGTTAACATATAATTCATGAAAAGGTCAACTGACCAAAGAGGAAATTTACCCAGTACATAAAAATTGGTGTCATTCTCACATTTCAGATTTATATTGAAACACAACTTTTTTTTTAAAAAAAAACGTCATTTTGTTTTTAGCTTTGAAAAAACACACAGAGAGAGAGAGAGAGGCTACAATGCTTTCGCCGGGAAAGGGGGACCACTGCCGTTCACCATCTATCGCCGCCGTTCGCCGTTGGTCTTTCGGCTCTAAACTTCAGGAAAGTTTCGTCTCGACGCCAGTAGCTCAGATCCGGCCTTGGTTTCGCGAGAAATGATCCACAAGTCTACGAAATAACCAAAGACTTCTCGGTTCTCTGCTTCTCCGATCTGGTTATTCAACCGTTAGATCGAATTGGTTTCAAAATGTTACTCCCCTCACCATGATGTATCTCCTAACCGTCCAGATCTGCTTTCTTATCACCGGAGCTGACGTAGTTGGAGACCCGACGGTAAGTTTTTTCTCTTTCGTTCTCTCCTTTTTTTTTCGTTCTTTTTTCTCTCCAAACTCGGTCCTCGTTTTATTATAATCTCCTTCCCCCTTGTACATTAGTTTTCTTGGGGAGGGGGTTATAACCCAAGTTACAATTAAAAATAATAAAAGATTACATATTTTCCCCATTCTTTTAGCGTGTGATTGTTGGTCTGATCTTTGAAGTTGTTGGAGCAGGGTGAATCAGAGGAGTGGAAATTGCAGGGAGATGGTAGCACAGTGATGGCATTGAATTCCCGGGATTGTGTGGGATTTTGCTTCTCCCCCCTTTTTTTTATTTGTGTGGGATTGTATTTCTATGGCTCTTTATGGATTAACAAAAATTGTTATGTTTTAGTTCTTTGTTACTTTGTTGTTAATTCTATTATTGATTTTTTATCAAGTGTTTTTTTGTATTGTGTTTTGCAGCATACATGGACAATGTTCGATAATTATGTTTGATTTACTGCCCGCTTGACATACAAGAATGTTCCCAGATGGCATCGTGATCTTTGCAGGCATGTTGGAGTTCTCAACCTTTATCACATATTGTTGCTTTTTTGATTTTTTGGAACAGCTTATAGAACTTTGTTGTCTCAAATGCCAGGGTGTGCAAGAATATTCCTATTGTTCTATGTGATAAAAAGGTTGATGTAAAGAACAAGCAAGTTAAGGCAAATCAGGTTACATTCCATAGGAAGAACCTGCAATATTATGAAATTTCGGCCCAGAGTAACTACGATTTTGAGAAGCCTTTCTTGTACCTTGCTAGGAAGCTTGCAGGGTAACCGAGCTTTCCCTCTCTTGCACATGAAAATGTTTTCATCAAGCAAAGCTCCGATTGATTCCTAATAGTTATGTTTTATTATGCCTGAATATTTGTAGTGATACTAATCTTCACTTAGTGGAGTCCCCTGCTCTTGCTCCTCCAGAAGTACACATCGACTTAGTTGCCCTTCATCAGTAAGTATTTTTCCCCAAAACTTATTTTGCATTCACCATTTTTTTAATTGCTTTTCGGATGGCTTTTGCTTCAAGTAAAATCCCTTTCCTTCATATCTTTATACATGCTTTGAATCTGATCCAAACATCACTGTATACCCAACATCATCTTGGTATCATCATAATTCATTTAAATTATACCCAAAAGGCCTGAAGGGATCAATATGCTGGATGTTTGGTCTAGTCGATATATAATTTCATGTAGGGAAGTTAATTATGTTTACGAGTGTTGTTGAATTTGGGACCAAATTGAACTACAAAATTAATATAAAATATAAAACCCCTAAGTTCTAGTCCCTTCAACTGGCAAAAAGGAGTTGTCCTGATGGGTGACAGTTAGAAGAGCACCAAGCCGACCTCGATAGGGCAAAAATTATTGTTGCAATGAAATAAACATGCATCTATTATATGCCAAGCCAGCATCCACATGGTTCCAACCATGAAGTGGGGGCAAGTGAAAGCTGGTATTAGCCAATGCCAACTTGTTTACACTATGTGGGTTGGGTCCAAAGTGATACTGTCCTAATTTTCAGTACCTCATAAGTCACCTTAAAATGGGACCCCATTGCTCGGGCTTTTGGTTGGGCGATTGCTGTTGGTGAGTGGTCGGAGGTTAGGCCTTTGGGATTGTGAACTGCTTTCGTACTTATTTTCAAAAGTTGGCTTCCATGGTCATAGTCATCAAAATTGGGTTCTATTTGTCTTCATTTACCTTTAAATTTGACTTTTCTTTCATGATAATAACTCTTCCTTGTCTTATATTAATGGGTTATATCTATCGAATCTGTTATTTAGTTGTCATGCAGTTAGCCCTAAGGTAAGAAATCCCCTTCTCTCTTTTATAAACAGTGAAAGTACCTTGTTAGGACTAATTTAATTACTCCCTCTACCATTAAATATATTAATTTAGTCACCATCACTATACTAGTAGAGAAAAAATAAAGAAAAATATTTAATAGAAGCATATTTTTTGATATCTTACGTGTTCAATTTTCTAAAAAAATAAATAATATGATTTTTAAAATTTAGGGTAAACTACATAAATGACCACTCAACTATGGCTTGGTCTTGAAATGACCATCATTTTTGAATTTGCATTAATATGACCACTGAACTATTTAATTAGTTTCTATATAGTCACTTGCCGTTAATATTTAACGGAAGTGTTTACGTGGCAGTTAACAAATTAGTATAACAAGGTGTGGGTCCTTGTAAAGTTATGTATTTGCGGTGTTGGAATTCTATTTTGTTTTCTCCCATTTTGGGTACTAGTTATATATGATTTGTTTTCTTGGATTTTTATTTAATGCTATTTGATTTTGATTCTGTTTTTAATTTGTCTAATGCCTTAATTTGAGCAAAAGTTCAAATATTTTATTTTAGTCATATATTAAATTTATAGATTAAATCCCCTATATTTTAGAATTAATTAGTTTGATAAACAATATTAACTTTAATTCTTAATTTTTAATTTGCTAATTTCAGTTTAATTTAATAAATTTATTTCTCTAATTAAATTGTGACACATGTCATGTAACATCCTAAACTATGGGTTAGTGACCAAATTGTAAAGTTTCAGAATTTGGTGACTAAAGTAGAAGAATGGATTAGTTCAGTGATTTGTTTGAAAATATTTCTTAAAAGTTGTTAGTAATTATTAAAGGAATTAAAGGGTAAAATGGTCATTTGACATTAAAAATATTTTATCCCTTTTATAAGAGATGAAAACGTGGAAGATGAAAACATTTTCATCTTCTTCTTCATTTCTTCTTCCTCCTCCCCGTGGAAGCTAAGCAAAGGTGAGTTTCTGATTTCTTGATTATTTGTTGAATTAAAGGTTGGATTTTGATCATTAGAGGATAACTAAGCTTAAGGAAAGCTTAAGTTATCTTAAAATCAAAAGATAAAGGAGTTATGAAAGATTAAAGAAAATGGGTTTTTAAGTGAATCTTTGGAAAAGAGATGATAAGTTGAATTGGGAACTAAATTTGACTTGTCATCAGCTAAATTAAGAAGTATTAAATGTTAGAATTGGATTTGAAACATGTGGAAAATATGGTATGATTCTTGAAGTTCCTAAAGAGGAGAGGATATTAAGGTTAAAGATGGGATAAATGATTATAAATGAGTTTAAACATGTATATGTAAGTTAGGATTATGAAAGGGGATGAAATATGAAGCATTTGAGTGAAGAGTTGATGATTTTCGGGTTCAAAAAGAGGTTTTGGGCAGAGTGCATCGATGCACATTCATAGTGCATCGATGCATCAAGGTTAAAACCCAGAATTTTGTTTAAAGGTGTATCGATGCATAGGTAGTGCATCGATGCACTCTTTTAAAATAGAAACATCGAATGCAATTAGTGCATCGATGCATAAGGCATGCATCGATGCATCCCAGTGATAATACAACATCGAATGCATTTTATGCACCGATGCATCAGTAGTGCATCGATGCATACTTTCATTGAAAGATGAAATTGTCATTTTTCTTAGTCTAAGAAGTGAACCATTAGAGTATATTAGTTATAATACTGATATAGATCTATGAATGATTATGTAGATATAGAACGTGATCCCATTCAGAAACAATTGAAGGATTATAATCGAATCAAAGCAAAGTTAAGGTGAGTGCAATTTAATTGTACTTATGTTATCGAATAAACATTGGCTTGTGATGAGCCAGTGGTGGAGTTACTATGGTAAGAAGTGACTCCTAAAATGTTATTTGATTTGTGACTGATATGATACTTATGTGTGTATGAGTACATGATTACATGTATATGTGATATGTGATATTGAACTATATGAAATTATAATATTTGAGAATACATGCCTATGTGACAAGCTATGTGAAAGTGGATTACATGTTTATGTGAATATGTGATACGATATGAGAGTCATAAATATATGTTTATGAGATATATGTTTACACATATATAGGGTATGTGACAGAAGAGAAGGAACATGAGATTATAAGATCAATGATTATACGTATATGTGATACGTGACAGAAAAGAAGAGATATGTATTTATAAGAGAAATGATATGATATAAGTTATGTGATTACATGTATGTATTAATACATCTTGCTTGCATTACATGTTAGTGTGATTGTGAATAGGTAGGAAGGAAACAAATAATGATATAAGAATCTATTATAAAATATATGATATGAAATACATGGTTACACATACATGTGGTATGTGACAAAAGAGAAAGAACAAGTGATGAGAAATGTATTCATAATGATAATGCCCATGTTATGAGTTATGAGAACTGTAGGTATAGTTGGCATGCCAAGAGTCAAAGAACTACCTATGTCTTTCGAGACATATGGACAGTATACCTATGTTCTAAGGAACATATGGATAGTTTACCTAGGTTCTTCGGGACCTATGGACAGTTACCGAGGATCTTTATAACCTATGGACAGTTACCGATGATCTTTATAACCTCTGAATAGCTACCGAGGATCTTTTATGACCTCTGGATAGGTCCTTCGGGACATTGATCGAGCTGTGGTGACAACATATGTGTGCACAACCTCAATGTACTCACATACCTTAAGTTCTCACTAGTGTACATGGGCTAATAAAGAGAATAAACAAACATACTGAATGTGATATGTATACGATGGGTGTATAAGTGGTTTGAAATGTGTTTCATGAACCATATGATGTTATGTGTGTTTCTTAATGATAATGATAGAGATTATGATAATGATGGTATATGTTTATGTATGCTTTATGTTATATGAAATATTATATGTTTTATATGCCTCACTAAGTCATCGACTTAGCGTGTGATTGTTTCACACGTTGGTTTGGAAAGCGAAAAGAGAAGTAAAGAGGAACAAGACAGGTCAGTTCTCCTTACCGAATGTCAGATCAGAAGAGAGGTGAATAATGTATTTTTATATATAAAATTCTAGTTGGCATGTAATCAAAAGAATATATTGTATAAGCTCTGAATAGTTTTGTAAATGTTTTGAATAAGTTAAATGTTATAAAAGTTTTTAAATTACTCACTATTTTATACGAATAAATGTTTGAAAAGTCAATGACACTTCGGACTCGTATCCGGGTCGGATACGGGTTGGGGTGTTACATTTAATGGTATCAGAGCTATTGTTTAGCCGATTCTAGGCTTAAACCGAAGTCAAATGAGTTTTTAAAATGTGTACATGCCAATATAGAGTAAAATTTTTGATCTGATAGGGTAAGGAGTGTGTTGTCTTGTTATGTTAAATAAGATATGTGAATACCAGAGAATAATTTATGAAATTTATAAATATGTTTATATGATATGATGTATGATATGTGAACATATGCAATTGACATATGTTATATAATATGAATTGGATGAGCATATGCACACGTGATATGTGATAGAAGAAATGATATGAGCATGTGAAAATATGAGAGTTTCTAAAGTGAAACACAAGGCAATAGACTGAAGGTAATAGCATTCACCTGCCCTGGCCAGGCAGGGAGAAGAGCGAAAAACCTCAGGGCGTGCCTGTACAAGATTAGAAAATGTATTTTGATGTTAAATGATATTATGATGTGTTTTAATTTTATACTTCTATAATTCATAGAATGAAAGTATCGAAAAGAGTTGAGAACACCCGAGTTCAAGGGTGAATTTGAGAAATGTTCCATTGTTATGGAAGGATTGAAGAACATAAATCTCCAATGATTAAGAAAATTAGTGCTTCATAGAGTTAAGCACCGTCACAGAAAGCTAGAGATTCTGGTTTTCAACTTTAAACCAGATATGAATTAGTTGTATTATCCGCCAGGGAATTAAATCAGATGAGAGTCCAACAGACTCAAGAAGTAGGGTTTGATCCTGAAAGATTAAACAAGGAGTTAATTGATAATAAGTCAGGGTTAAAGACAACCTTTGTGAATTGGGTTAAAAGCTTTGTTAGAAGTTATAAAAAAAATTGAAGCAGGAAAATTATTTTAAAGGAATAAGATGAGTATTGAAATCATGTGATTGGAAACAAGTGGAGAAAACATAAGTATAAGAATGATAAAGAATAAGATTTTGTGCAAGTAAAATTGACTACCAAAGTCATG